CACATAAAGCCACCACCACCCTCTCTTCAGTACTCTATCCCTATTCAGTAAACTGTAACCCTGTATTTCAAAGACATTTCTTTCATCAAAATCATCTACATTTAACCATGTTTCAGTTATTCCCATTATATCAAAATCCTCCATTCCTACCAGTGCTCTGAAGTCATCTATTTTATTTCTTATACTTCTAGCATTATAATAGTAACAATTAAGCCGAGTCTCATAACTTCTTCCAGGTTAAGTAGTTAGCACACAGGATCACCTACAAAAGTTGTAATATTTCCAAAACGAGACCCAAAACTTGAGCATTTTCAAATAGTTGACTATTCTCCTATGCAAAATATTTCTCTATCTCTTATTCTTTTTGCATTTAGTTCAACCTGGCCCTCATCACTGTTCAGTCCTAGTTTAAAACTTCCCTTATAGCTGAGTGAATAGCCCTTATGAACAAGCCAGCCTCTATTTAATGTAAACCATCCATTGCAAAAAGCTCTGTTCTTCCATTGAACTGATCCCACAAGTCCAACCAGCCAATATGCTCATCCTTGCATAGCATTTAGCCCTAGTGACCTACTTAAAATTTGTCCCCACAAATAATTCTGGGCAATATCCCTGACAAAATTATGTTATGGCCTTTTTCTTTAAATGCCTTTATCAACCCCTTGTACTTATTAATTAGTTCCTCTGACCTACCTTTCCCTACATCATTAGTCCCTACACATATATACACAAAAAACTAATTCTCTACTAGCCCCCTTTATTATATTTTCTGCTCTGTCAGTTATATCCTCCATCTCTACCCCTGGGTAGCATAATCTAATTCTTTTCTCCCTATTTACCCCACAGACTATCCTATCCACATGCCTTGTCAAGAAATCACCTATAACCTCCTTAAGTTTATCATCCATATCCTTATGTCCTTTTGTTTTCTATCCCTCCAATAGTTCCTCATCTGAACAAGCCAAGGACTGAAATCTGTTACTTCATAGAATAGGTTCATTACAATTTAATCCACTACTTTTAGCCCTAATAATATTGTTTCTAACTTCCTGAAAGTCATTGTTAATACATGTATTCCTTGCATGTAAGAGATTAAACTCCACTTGAGATCCTGCTGCCATTTCCCACAGTTGACATTTCTCTCTATCTATTGCCTCTACAGTAATTAGGATAGCTTCCAACTTCTCTTCCAACCTACAAACTTTATATACATAAAACTTTTTTTACAGCAGATAAACTATATCAAAGTATCAATTTAGTCCTCAGTAGAACTGTATCTTCTCAAAAATTAATACCTTATAGTTTACCAACTAAGAATATTCATCTCAGTTTTAAATTTTTTACAACAATTCAGTGTGGTCACATTTACATGTCCAAAAAAGAAAAATTGCAATGGGTTGTGACTTTATAATTGCATAAAATCTAATCTACGCATTTAATTATCATTATTATTTAAGTTTTAGGTTAATTTTCTAAGCTAAAATTTACCAACTCTATCAGTTTTAAGTGTATGCTGAAACTAAATGATCAATTTATCACAAGGGCAAAAATATAAAAGAAAACTGATTGTTTTATTGTACAATGCACTCGTATTTTGCTTTAAACAAGGTATTACACTTTGTTTTTATAGTACCATATACTTAAGAAGAATGCATGTTTATGAAATAGTTCCAAATGTATTATACTACTCCTAGCAAATCAACCACGTTGTTTGGTTGCCCAACTGAATAATATTCATCTTCGGACTTTGTGCAGGCCATGCCATTTTTGAGCGTGTTCTATCTGCTTCTACTACCTGGTATCAAGTCCCAAGCTGATTGAATATCTATAACACTGTCTGCTTAGAGATTAAACCCTACCTAGCAGGTTTTTTTTCTGAAGGAATGAAATGTTTGATAAGAATGAGCTTAAACTTTGACAGTCATGATGCCATCAATTTCCAACATCAATGCTTGACATTTTAGACCAAAACTGTATTGATACCACAGCATCCATCATAGTATATATTGTGCATTGACCATGTTTTGTTTCCCCCCTTGTCATCAACCAAACATTTGAATTTAGATTCATTTGTGAAGAGCAACCCCTCCTACCCTTCACCATTGCTCATCCAATTGTTTGAAATCAAATGCCCATTTCAGCCTTTTGGTTTGATTACTTCTACCAAGAAGTGATCTTTGATTAGCTACACATCCATTATGACCACTTTATGCTAAAATGTATCTTACTTTTTGAAGTTAACATCCACACCTATAAATACAAATAGGTCATTGACAAGATCTCTATTGGATTGTTGTGTATCACATATAAAGCATACCAGAGTTATTTAAACTCACTTTTAGAGTTTGATCTTTCTACTTCAAATGCTTCCACTATCAACAGCATTAGTCTTGTGTACCCCTCTTCAGTTTCTATACAGCTGCTGCTAAAACAAGGACATTTTCCCAATCTGTTATATGGTGGAGACTTAAACAATATTTGTATTTTACAGGGTTTTCACACTTTCAGAAGAAAATTCAAGAATAATTTTATAATTTGTCCATAAAATGTTCACAAATTTCAAGAATTATTTAGTGATTTTTCTTTTTATTAATACTAGAAATAAACGACCTTATAACACCAAGATGTCATTTATATTTAATTAGACACTCAATATTTTACTTTACAGCTTCTTCATGAGCATTTACTAAAGCAAACCAACACTTCAGTTTGAGAGTACGAGTTGTGGTTAGTGAGGCTACACTAGGGATGACATTTGAAAACTCATTATTTAGTTTCTATAGTGCATATTGGTATATAGAAGACATTAATACTAGAAATAAATGACCTTATAGCACCAAAATGTTGTTTATATTAAATTATGTTCCACTTTACAGCTTCTTCAGAAGCGTTTTGGTACGTGTTTTAGTGAAAGCTCCTGAAGAACCTGTAAAGTGAAATGTTGAGTGTCTAAATATAAACATTTGGGTTATAAGGTCATTTATTTCTAGTATTAATATCTTCTGTACACTAATATGCACTACAGAAACTAAATAATGAGTCTTACAATTTATGTTGAGCTGGAAATCAATGATGTATTTAAACCTGCAAACCTATATTATCAATCAGAAAAATCAGGAATACAGCATTGCAAATATTTACTCCCACACATAAATCCACCAACTACTTATCACAACAATGAAAACAAACAAGCCTTCTACATCCACCTTGCATGAACAACATCCCCTGCAGCAACATAAATTAATTTTCCTAGGGTTAAGTGTGTGAAGCTCATTGCAGTACTTGTCATCATAGATTTAGCACTATTTTTCAATAAAATCACATTTCAATCAAAGACTTTCTAGCCTCCTATCTTCCCATATTTTTATATGGATTCTGGCAGAGACTGTCAAGCTCTGCTCCTAGCATATACTCATTCACAGACACTAACTGAACTTATGACCAAAGTAATTGAATTGTATAACTATATACTTCCTTGCCAATTCAAGCACAAGTAATAAGTCATCTTGAGATCTACAGTGTTTTACAAACTTGTGCCATTTTTACAGCCTCAATAACTGTGAAAACTTTAGTCATGAATATTAAAGATTAAATGAAGTATGAATGACATGTATTGCAAACTTGTAACAACTTTGTTTTGGGGTTTATTTGTTTTATGGCACTATATTTTTAGATGGTCCTACATGTTTCCCAAGCAGTCTCCAGAAACATTAACAACAGAAGTGGTTTCAACCTGCCTATAACATCCAGGAAAAGCTATTTAACCAAATAGTGTTAAATATATTGATACAACAACCATAAATGCCTTAACACTAAGTTATGCAACTTATAAGAGTAGTTAGGATACTTAATTGTGAAGTCAATACATTGTTGGCCTAGGTGGAGAGATGCAAACACAAATTTACCAACATTAAATTATGGCATAATCCCCATAATATGTTACTTTTTGATTGGATCAAGCTGTACATAGATTAATGGCATATAAAATCTGCAATGGTACATGATGTTGCAACCGAAGGTCAATGATGCCTAGGTAACCAATGAGTGTGGTAAGCAAAATAACAACATTGTGAATTATTAAGTTTAACAAATTTTCCCAAATCCTATGTTGGTTGTGAATTTTTCTGAAATTCCTGAATATTTCCAGACTAAGAAATTGCAAAATCAAATTCCAGATTTTAAGAGTGAATGGGAACTCTTAACCTTATACCCCTTTTACTCACTATTTCCATAATTATTTCCAAAGATTTATAGGGCAACAAAGATGTCATGCACATGCCTACAATGTGCCCCAAAGAATTTAGCTAAGACATGAAGACTTCCCTCAAAAATGAAAATTATGTTTTAAATCTAATAAATTCAAACAAAGAACAGGCCCAGCCAAATAGTATTACTTAATAGAAATTGGGATGATCATCTCAAATTTTACAAAATATCACTATCATTAATACAGCACTGCTCCTTGTATAAGCTACATCTTGGTATATTGCTCTCCTTTAAAGGCAAGTAAATATTTTTTGTGTTTGCTATCAGTTTAGCATATTGAAAACTGAGTCAAACAAATGCATCTTTATAGTATGAAGACACTACCTTTGCTAGCACTACTTTTGTTTGCTAGTAAATATACTAATTTAAAAAGGCAGACTTTGTTTATAAAGCTCCAGCATACATACACTCATGGCATGGTGAATCAGTGATCTTTGAAATTTGTATTATATGATCCACACACACATTAATTAAACAAAGATTTCTACAAACATTAAATTAAAATAGTTTGTTTTATTTAATGTGAAGCAACGTGTATGTTTTTCATTCTTGAAAATTAGCATCAAGTAATGATTCTTAAGGTTGTCTGTGATATGGTGATTCTGCAGATTATATATATATATATATA